AACTTTATTTGGGTATTCTTTAATTAACACCCCATGCAAAAAACTAATTAATTAAAATCGATTGGCGCCTAATAAAATTGATTGACGTCCTAAAAATTTTATCAAATTAAAAGTTTTTACATCCTTAATGTAGTATAGTAAGCTATTAAAAGCTATCTTTAATATTATACTTTTTTGACTTTTCTAGAGTCAATCGGTGCCATAAAACCTGTGGCCAAAAGGCAATGCGGATTTTGTAAAAGCAAAAAACTTTCGATGAGGATTATAAAAAGAGTTGAAACTCACTTCTTTCTCCGGTGCAAGTCGTTTCATAAAGAATAAAGTTTTGTGAATATCTTTTTCTGTTATGTAGAAGGATGAACACGACTTGTAACATCAGTCCAGAAATTGGTAAAACCTATCTTTCTTTATTTTAAGAAGAGAACGTATCATACATGATGACTAAAACCCAAATTAAAAGAACTGATACAGTGACTAACTGAACTAATTACATCAGATTGAAAACTCACAATTATACTATGAATGAAAAATTAATAGGATTCGGGAAAGTTGTACGAATAGATGATTTTCTTTTTAGAAGTCGTCAAAAATACAACTAAATAAAACTTCTTTTTAATAATTTTATAGAAAGTAATTAAATTAACAATCACATCAAGATTTTACTAACAGAGTTTACAAACCATGGGTTTTTGGAGTGCCAGAGCAGGACACCTGTAAAATTAAGATTTTTTTGTAGAGAAACGAAATAGAGACACTTTGTTGCCACTGTTGCTTGAACATGTAGATACTCAAAATGTCATTATCTAAGATAGGTGAAAAGAATATCATGGTTTAAGCTCCTATTTTAATAACCAATATGGTAAACCATAGTGAGAATTTTATAGATTTAACAACTGGATATCACAACCAGTTTATTGAGTATAAAAACGCTATGTGAAGTTTAAAATAACAAAGAATAAAATAGAGATATCGATTTCTCTCTTACAAAGTCATTAAAACCTTTTTTGCCTTTATCATTAACACAAAGGTTTAGAGTTTGAAGTATTTTTGAAGTTTTTAGGGAAGAATCATCCATAGATTTTTTGACTTATCTTTTTATTTTATCAAAACCCCTACTCAAAGGAAAGGGTTGTTGATAAAATAAACTGTTATAAATATTTTTGTTGTATAATTTATGGATTGCAAATTAAATTGACGAATCAAAATTAGAAAATGTGGCGCCAATCAAAACAGTGCCTATATTTGATATCGCTAATATTACTCTTAAAATTTTTAATAACT